TTCCTTCCTTCCTTCCTTCCTTTCTTCCTTCCTTCCTTCCTTCTTTCCTTCCTTCCTCTCTCCCTTCCTCCCTCCCTCCTCTGTTCATTTTCCCTGGATGTTCCCCATACATGGAATTCTCTGCCTTTTTAACTCTGCTTCTTGGCTTCCCTGCCTGGCTCCCTTCGAGCCTTGGTTAAAATCCCACTTTCTGCAAGAAGTCTTTTCTGATCTCCCTTAATGCAAGCTCTTTCTCTTTGTGAGGCTCTCCAGATAGGTGGTGAAACCTGGAGTTAGGAGGATCTGAATTCAAATCCAGGCTCAGACACTTACTAGCTGTGTGATCTTGGGGAAGTCACTTAGCCATGTTTGCTCAGTTTCTTCAACTGTCAAATGGGAATAATAACAACACCTTCTTCTCAGGGTTGTTGTGAAAATCAAATGAGATAATATTTGTAAACACTTAGCACAGTGCCTGGCACATATTAAGCACTATATAAATATTAGCTATCATCATCATCATCATCAATCTTGTTCACACATAGTTATTTGCCTGTTATCTCCCCCATTAGACTTGAGTTCCCTCAGGCAGGGAACTGTTTCAACCTATCTTTGTATCTTCAGCACTTTGGACAGTTTCTGGTCCATGATAAATACAGTATTGTAAATTCTTGTTGACTATTTGAAATCCTTGGAGCAGAGCTAAAAATTGGTTGATAACAGTGATGGATGCTGCTTATTTGTGGCCTTGGCCACTAGTGGAAAAGCTCTAGTGACAGCTTTTCAGGGAAATGATCATCATCCTTTTATTAGGCTATTCTAGATAAAGGAGAGATGTTTCATAAATGTCTAATGAAGCTCTTAGCCAATGAGTCCTGGGTGTGGCAGCAAAGTCAATTTCTAGCAGGCCTCAAGTTGAAAAGGCTTCAAAATGGCCCCAGGGATGGGCTGAGTGCTTGCTAGCCAAAACCCAGCCTGTCCAGCTTTGGGGAAGTGCAATGCCAGGATACTGGCCATCACCAGAACATGATTATATCCAGAGCTATTCATTCATGATCAGTCATGAAGGCATGGAGGTGCTACTCTCAGCACTGGTTTAGGGTTTAAGGACTACCCATAACAGATGAGGACATGGAATTTCTATAGTAGTATTTCTTAGTAAATCTTTAATATATTATTAGTATTGGGCTTAAGGACTAGAACTGGGGTTTCATTGGAAAAGAGAAATCCTAGGTGAAGACATTCCCTTTCCCAGTGCAGACAGTGTGACCTATACAACATATCTTCTTGTAGAGTTGCCTAGAGTAAAGATGCCACTGGGCCACATGAGGCCCACAACACTCCTGAGTGTTGGCCAAACCAAATTAAAATGTGGTGCTTCTCTGATTTTAATGTACTCACATATTAATAAAAAAAAGGAACACATAGGCCTGTGTGGGTTTTCTAAGTCAACACGTGGCCCATTATGGCTTACTGGCCTTCATTTCTATTTGAGTTGGATGCCACTGGCCCAGAACACTTCAGGGTTAAGAGACTTGCCCAAGGTTACACACAATCAGTAGCCGGGATTGAACCCAGCTTTTCCTGGTCTCAAGGACAGCTCTTTATCCACTTTGCCAAGCTGACTCTCTTCTATACAGACAGTAACACAAAGGACATATAACTTACAGTGAGGGGGGTAATGACCAGCCTGGGGCATGCCCCCAGGTACTCATAGCCATAGGTATAATGAGAGAGGGCCATTTTGGCCACACAATTATCTAGGTCGAGATCCCAATAATAACGTAGCTGCCTCTGCCATTCAAAGCAGTCAGAAGTAGACACCTATCCAGGAGACACAAAACAAGATGGTGCATTTACTTGTAGATCTGAATTCACAGTAGTTAATATGGGGTTATTACTTTTAAATAAGGGAAATAATTACCTTGGTTGCCACGAGTTCACTGACAATATCTCTTGCATGTACATCGATAGTAATTAAGGCCGTTATGATGTTTCTGTGTAATTTGGGAAGATTACCTCGGACCAAGCCTGCCAAAGCATTTAATCTCTACAAGTTTAAAAGAAAAAGTTTGAACACGACTTTCCAGCTGAGTAGAAAACAGTTGTTTTTAAGGGTATCACTTTTGGGACTTCTATGACTCTGGAGAAGACAGCGGGGCTGACAATTTTACACAGCTCTGCCTCACTTAAATCCAATTCGTGTGCCTATCAGGACATCTCCATCTTTGGTCTTCTTTGAAAAATGAAGGGTCACCAATAACAAATTTTGCTAGAAGAGGTTAGACTGGGTTCCCCATGCTTAGTGTACTTAAAGATCCTATGACCCTGTGATTCCATGATTGAATATCCTATAAATCTATACAAAGACTAATAATGATGATAATGAGGATGAAGATGATAATAATAATAATCATATATAATGATTTAAGGTTATTTTGGAGCCCCAAAACAACCCTGTGAGTTAAGTGCTCATATTATCCCCATTTTACAGATGCAGAAACCAAGGCTGAGAGAAACTAGGTCACTTGAAGCTAATAAGTGTTTAAGTTAGGCTTTCAACCAAGGATGTATTGGTAAATATTTAACAACTCGTTCTGGGGAGGTGGGGATGGTATGTATGATACGCTTTTGAGTTTATTCTGCATTATTAATATTTTCTCCATCACTTTCTTTAGTCTAGATAATCAACAAAAAAATAAACCAAGCCTTTATTTGCAGCATTTGTGATTTTGAGGTAAAAATGCGCACTGAGTAACTACTACGTGATTCCACACACCTGTGCATTGAACCTAAGTCTCCCTGACTCCCAGTCCAATGCACCAGCCAAATTCACAGTCCTGCTTTGCTGAATCTAGAATATTTGCATGATCATTCACATTGATGTATTATTTTTTGATAATGAAAATTCAAAAAAGATGGAGTTGCATTTGCAGATAAGGATGAAGTGAAGTGAAGAGTTGAGCCCCATGCATGTCTCATGCTTGTTCCTATATACTGGATATATTTTGTTAGAATGTGAGTTCTTTGAGAGGAAGGACTGTTTCATCTGTATCTTGGTATCCCTACCACGTAACACAGTTCCTGGTACACAGTAGGAGCTAAATGAATGCTTGTTGATTGACTCATATACATATATACTCCTTCCCTCTATTCCTAAGCCTCCACATTAATCCTGACACCACTGGTAATGACCTGACCTAGATGCCTTGACCAATGATTTTTTAAAAACATTAAATTGCATTTTTTCCAACGAATTCTCTCTCACTTTCCCATCTTTATTTGAAAAAAAGAAGAAAATCAAAACCCTTATAATAGATATACATGGTCAAAGAAAACTAATTCCTGCATTATCCAAGTCCAAAAATGAGTGTCTCATTTAGAATGGTGAGTCCATCCTTTCTCTGTCAGGAGGTGGGTAGCAGGCTTCATCAGGAGTCATTTGGTCACTGCATAATCAGAGCTTCAAAGTCTTTTAAAGTTGTTTCTCTTTACACTGTCTTTGCTATTGTATAAGTTGTTCTTTACTGGTTCTGCTCACTTCACCTTGCATTAGTCCTTGTCTGTTAATGGAAAATGCATTTTGACATCCACATAAGGGAGCAGAGAAAGGTACAGGTAGATGCCCATGAAAAATTTTCCCATTGGTGAGACTGGCTGCTGAGAGGTCTAGGAGATAATTCATTTCAAAGAGAAGCTGGGTCAGCAGTAACATGGATATTAAATAAAAATATTTCATCTTACACATTTGGATATTTGATCTCTTTTTTCCTTTATATGAAGAAAAAAAAAATGAAGGCTCCATATCCCCTAGAAAGAGTCATGTCAGTCAGTAAGGGAGATTTATTAAGCGCCTACTTTGTGCTAGGCAAGCTGCTAAGCCCAGGGATACAAAGAAAGATACAGTCCTTGCCCTCAAGGAGCTCACAGTCCCACAAAGGACGCAGCATGTAAACAACCAGGCAGCATAAATTGTTGATCATTAAAGCTTGAGATAGCATTTTTGGCAACAACAGGCATGTTGAAAATACTTCTTACCCTGGTCAGAAGGCACATTTGTATAAGGGTCAATAGCTAAGATTCTCTCTTTTTTCTAGGGTCCCTTTGAAAAGCAAAGACAAATTCATGGAAATTAGCATTTCAAAAACTACCAAAGGTCTTGGAGGGTTTATTTTGTTTTGTTGGTCTGATTGCTCAGAGAGTTTCAGAGGTTGTAGATTTACAAATCTAGAGCGAACTCTGATGCAAGTTATGTTCTTGAGTTTCTCAGGATTGAATGAAACACTGGCATAGGGGGGAGTGCTTTGAGTGCTATCCATATGGTTCCTGTCTAAAAAACAGGAGCAAATGGCTTTTCTAACTCTATTTTTGTCCCCCCTCCAAAAAAGCCCTTAATTTTGTCTTAGTTTTCCTGTTTTATTCTCTTTTATTTACAAGTTCTAGAAAAAAAAACAAAACCCAAAGCAAAGTCTTTAGTATAAATTAATTTTAATGAAAATCCTTCAAATCTTAGCGCCAGTACCCTCTTCCATATGAATGAGTATCAATAAACATTCATTAAGCACTGATTATGTGTCAAGTAATAAGCCAAGCTCTGAGGATACAAAGAAAGGCAAGAGAACATAATCCCTGCCCTCAAGGAGCCTACAGTCTAATGGGGGAGGCAACAGGCAAACACCTACATCAGTATGAGATACGGACAGTGTACGGGAGGGCAGCTTTATCCCCTTTGCTTTTAGGGCCTCTCAAGCCCTATAAATAATGATCTTAGGTTCACTTTGCATATCATTATACATACATGTCACCTCCCCAGAGAGAACACAAGTTCCTTGAGGTCAGGAATTATTTAATTTATTTCTTTTGTATTCTCAAAGTCTAGTACTGTATCAATCAGATAGCTAACAAGCATCTATTAAATATTTCTTAGGTGCCAGGCACTGTGCTAAGCAGTGACAGCACAAAGAAAGACAAAAACAATACCTGCCCTCTATGAGTTTAAGGCCCAATGAGAGTGGGGGTAGAGCAAACAACATATACACAACCACATACAAACAGATATATACAGGATGGGGGGGGTAGGAAAAGGCTTCCTGTAAAAGGTGGGATTTTAGCTGGGACTGGAAGGAAGCCAGGGAAACAAAGAGGCAGAGCCGAGGAGAGAGTGCATGCCAGGGATGGTGGCAACCCAAGAAAACGCCCACAGGGTCATGCAGGAGGAACAGTCTTGAGGCCAGTGTCGTTGGATATACAGTGAGGGTATAAGGTATGAGAAGACTGGAAAAGTAGGAGGGGATCCGTTGTGAAGGGCTTTAAACATCAAACGGGGGATTTTGACCTTCAAAGTCCTTTCTAAATGGTTGGTGGTTGTCCTTTGTTCTGGAAGAGGACCAAAATCACATCCCTATGTTGAAGTCAAGGTATGGTGTGTCTGACAGCGGCTTTTCTAAATAATAGGCCCTTCATAAATGCTCGTTGATTGATTGATAAAGCACTCATTCATGAAATAATACAAGTTTACAGGAATAATATGAATCTTTCTAAAGACTGAAAGGTAGCAAACCTGTACTACTCTGACACCAGCCCTCTAAGCTTCTCCATGCTCCTCTTTACTCTCTCCCAAAACTCACCTCAAAGTTTGTTCTTTCAAACACTTCCAATGCTTGCAAGTGGTCTTGATCTCCCCCTTCCAAGCATTCAGTCAAGTCTCGGCACCACATGATTTGAGAAATGGTCAGCACAACCTACAAGGAAACACCAACTTGGCCAATGCTGAAAGACCCACGGAAAGTGCACAGAAAGACAATACTAGTCATGAGGAATTACTTGGGAAGGATGGCCAGCCACCACCCACTCGATCCGGATCTTGCTTTGGTAGTCAGCGATGGCAGCTTTACTTAGGCGCCTGAGGGATGTGAACATGGCTTCTTCCACTTTGCCCAGCCAATCTTCCACATTCCCTCGAGCCTTCAGGCCTTTCCCCAGGCCAACCTAGGAGAGAATTGCAGCAATTGGGAGACTCACCATGTAAGAGCTGCTTGGCTTCTGTGAGAAATTAATTATTTCTCTCATATTTAATAACTAATTACTGAATCAGGACCAAGATTTTTCCTCTTTTCTACTTCCTCATCTAGAAACCAACAGTGTGGGAAATATCTCTCAGAGATTTACCAGGCCAAGATCTAATCAGACAGTAAAGGAAAGTCTAAGTTTGGGTGAATGGGTGTATTGCTGCTCACAGTGTTTGCTCAGACAGGTCTGGGAAAATGTTGATTCTCCCTGTTATCAAGACAAGTGATGGAAATTGATATCTCTTTGAACAAGATTTGAGGGACTTAAGTCACAAGCCCCAAGAAAGCCCGCCTCTCCTTGTGTTAACCAATCAGAGTTAGCTGCCACCCTCAGGAACACCTATTTGTTGAAGGGCATATAAACTGTCAGCCCACTGTCTCTGGTCTAAGATGGCCAAATGACCATCTTTTTATTAATAACATGCTGGCCTTATTAATAAAATGACTAAATTACCCAGAAACTATGTTTATCGAATTTTTTTAACACTCACAGTTATTGGGATCAAGAAATGGATCAGAGCCTTTCACTCTAGATTCTTATCAAGAAATTCCCCTCTATTGGACGCACCTAGAGAATTCTCCACAAGGAGAGTTCTCTGTTGGGACTCTGGTCATGATCTGACTCTCCCTTTTACCAGCACGTAAATTTTATCTGGGTAAGTTTATATGTTCCGTTTCTATTTATCTGTGTTTAATGCTGCAGCTCTCTAATTTTCACTCTCACTGGAATGAGGTCCTCTTGACACAGCTAACGGGACAAGAGGTATATGCGAATGAAACTGTTGAAAAGGGCTTTGAAAAGAAGTTCTATTTGAGTTAAATTGAGTTTTGAGGGGCTGGCAGAGATTGTGGGGGGCTGCCTGGGAGGCTTGGATTTACTTTGGAGCCCGAACCATTTCAGTTTTCCTGTAATTAAGCAATCATGCTCCAAAGTCTCTTGCAGAAGAGTTCCACTGAAAGAGCCCTGGATTTCTGACAGGAGGTGTCGATTTCTGCCAGAGACCTTTTGAGCTGTTTAAAAGGGCTTGATATTGGAATAAGGCAAGTTGTGAGAATACTAATTCTTATGAAAACTATGACACCTTGGGGAGCAAATTAGGTTAAAATTCTGTCCAAGATGGAGAAGTCCTCTTAAGATTTTCTAGCAGAGGTGTGTCAAAGGAATTAGGTTATGGGTAGGATTGGCTGTGTTGCTGGTGAAAAAAAAGTCTCCGAGAAGAAGCAGGAGGCAGACAGGTAAAAAAAAAATTGGGTAGAAAGATCTCCCAAGAAAATAGTTTTAATTTCAACTTTTGATTTCTGGGTTACTAAGGCTCTGTTTGATCTGTCTCTGTGTCTGTTGAGAAAGGAATTTATAATTTTCATATTCATCAATACAATATGTGTAATGAATTTGCTAATGATTTAGCAAAATTCTGGCATGTGAGTCAGACTCACGATGCAGCTTGCTCTGATGGATCGAACCTTGACGAGGCTCACAATCACTGGCATCCTTCTGTCTGTGTACCTGAAGTGAATCGAATCAAAGATTGTAGAACCTTTTCTGGTCACAAAACTCTGGTCCTGGGAGACACTAAGTAATGACCCCCAAGGACTTGAGCAGTATTGCTTCCACAGGACTCCAGAATTGTCGTATTGTCTTCCATTTGTGGGTTTGCCCTGGCAACAATTGTTTGTAATCCACCTTCCCCCCTCCTTTACCATTTATGACTTATGTATATAATCTCTGTCTTCATTTTAGCAAGCTAGAATTCTAATCAGGAGAATTCCTGATTTGCAAATCTGTTCCTTATAATGAAACTAATTAATTAAATGGCTACCTAATTACTGACACTGTCTCTGATCTGTTATTTCGTCATTCTGAGGTTAGACACTGGTTCAGCAAAAATCCTAATAACACTGTGTGAGGTTTTCTAAGATTAGCTTGTAAAGTAAGGGAACTGAAAAAGCAGGGTGAGACTCTCTCAGGAGTTAGTTTGGGAGGTGGAATCAGAGAAGGGATCTTTCTGAGTTAAAACTCCAAATTTTGTCTTTGGTGGGGCTTTAACTGCAGCTCCAAACTGATAATATCTCAGACCAAATAGCCCCTAGCTTGGCAGTAGCTGCAAGGGCTGATTTCTAGGAGCAAGCCCTTTATCTCAAGAGAGCTTAATTAATGAGCCACTTAAAGCCACGTGGATTATGTTTATGTTAAATCCAGACAACTGTCTCCTCCACCTCCCCTCCCCCATATATCTGACATCAGGGCAATGTGTTTAAAACTACAAAAATAAGTTTTTGTCTTTTAAGACACTTTGATAAGGGCTTTTATATCATAGTCTTAAATGCAATCACTTTAGGATTTCGGTGATTTGTTTAAAATGTATATTAACATGTAAAAGCTGTTTTTTTTTAAATAAGTAAAGTTGGTGAAAGGTGTGAGAGAAATACAGCTCTCTTGATTTGTAAATTATTAAGTGGTAACTCTCTCCAGATTCTAAAAAGCGAAGAGAAGCAGACACAAAGGAGTGTGAGTAGGATTTTTAATTTGGAAAACTGTGTTAAATAGACAGTCGAGCCTTTTGTAATCTGTTGACAGAGTTTGGGAGGAGCCAGAACCCCAGTCTTGTATTTCAACAAGAACATAAGCCACTGCATGCCTCCTAAAAGTTTTTGCAATTATTAAAAACAATTTAATGGATTTTTTTTTAAAGGATTCATCCCACAAACTCCTTCCTGTATTGGGACAAGAAATGGACAGTGCAGGTTTCTATCTCCTTTTGGGAGAATGAGAGATCTGGAGCTCTTTGATCTCCTACTGAACATCTGGATTATAGCTAATCAAGCAACAGTATAATTATGATATGCATATTAATGTATAAGTCATATTTTATATAAATTTGCATATATAAAAATATATAATATATGTCATCTGGTGCCCTATCTAGTGATGAGACTATATTTAGACTTCTTTTTTTATATATTATATACAAACATATATAATTATATTTATATATAAACATAAATTCATATATGATGTGATTTCTATATATGTGTATATATGTTTGTAAATATGCCCAATCTATTGATGGGACTATATTTATACTTCTTTTTACCTTTTGCAGAAACGGGGGTTGATACAGGAAGGAGGATCAAAGCACTAATGTGTGTTTATATATTTACATATACACTTATATATCATATATGTGACATATCACATATATAATGTCATAATGTCATATATGCTATTGTTTTCTCTCTCTCTCACTCTCACTCTCTCTCTTTCTCCCTCTCTCTCTCTCTGAACTGCAACTCATTGGAGGAGGGAGACTCCCAATTAATTAAATTGGAGATAAGGAAGATGAACTAGATATCTTACCACTAAGGTTCCTTCCTAGAATTCTACGATGTACTGAAATGTACAAAAGGAAGGGAAGGAGTAATCCTTACCCGCTCTCCCTCTGGTGACAGCATGGCTAAAATATCATTTGTAAAAACCTTTTCTGGTTCTGTGTCAACACCAGGCAGTTTGGGTTCAGTAGAGATCAAAACGGCAAATTCCAGCCTAGAGATGGAATCAAAACACTTCCTTAAATGAGGCTGAACCGCTTGTGGATTTCGGGTCTGGGCCAAAATTTCCAAAAGTTCGTCATTGGATAAGAAGTAAAACCTGTGTCAAAGAAATGCAAATTTCTTTAATGCAAATCTACAGGAATTCAATAGATTTACTCCCAAGTCACATGCCTGGGACCCCTTAAAGATTAAAACTACCTTTCCATCCAAGGTCACTTTCAACAATGAACAGCCTGATCCAGAGTCCAAGCTCTCTGGTGCAAGAAGATTTATTTTCCCTAACCCCCAGTGGCTTTATTGGTGCAGCCACTGGGGTTCTGGGGTTCTGAGCTTTGGGGCAACCGTGCCTCAGTTACCTTCTACTGCTTATTAAGAGGGCTGCCCAAATGCCTAGCTCTTCTGAATGCAGCATATACTCTGGCAAAGTAGTAGCCGGTTGTGAAGTACCTTTCATTTTAGAAACCCTCTCTCCAGAATGATGTAGAATCATAACTACATAGAAAGAAAGCATCTAGCTTAGAGATGAGTAGGCTTTGTGTCAAATGGTGAGAAATAGTATTGAGAACTCCATGGTGGATATTTTGCCATAGAGAACTGTAATGAATAGAGCCCTGGACTTGGGTCTAAGAAGATTTGGGTTCAAATTCTACCTAAGACATATACTAAGCTGTGTGCCCTTAAGCAAATCACTTAACCTCTCTGTGCCCTAATTTCTTCCATTGTGAAAAGGATGGGGCCTGACTTGATGGCCTCGAAGACCCTTTCCATAAAAAGCCTACTCTGATGCCCTGGGCTTCAAAGGCACTACCAATGGAGTGAAAGGACCAGGTAAGATTTCGAGGGTTCAGATACGCACCTGGCAACAGATTAGGCATCATTTTCCCTACCCGTAAAATGAGAATGATATATACGCTACCTAGAAGGAAGCTGTGAGATGAGGGATTTGTAAACCTTAAATGAATATTGGAGGAATGTGGTGGTATACTAATTATTCTCTCATCTGGACATTTTTTTTTCCCATTGGTATAAAGAATTCCTAATGAAGAAACTCCCTCAACCAATATTTAATGGCACTCAGGTTCTATAACTTATAGTCTTAGAGAATTGCTTGGGGGTATTGACAGGTTAAAGGACTTGCCCAGGGTCACACAACCTGTAGGGGTAGGGGCAAGAGCTGAACCCAGGTCTTCCCGATTCTTAGCCTACCTCTTTTATCCTTATTAGGGTTATCAATTAAATTTGGAGATTAAATTAACTAATTAAATTACTAGCTAAATGTGGAGAGATTTATCACCAAGTCAACATGTAGTCTGGGAAACACAGAAGAAAAAAAAAGATTAGTGCAGTGGATAGAGCACTGGTTCCAGAGTTAGGAAGATTAGAGTTCAAATCCAGCCTCGGACATTTAGTAGCTGTATAATTCTTAGCAAGTCACTTAACCTCTACCTGCCTCAGTTTCCTCATCTGTAAAAGGGGGCAAATAATACCCTCACCTCCCAGGATTATTGTGAACTGAGATTACCAATAGAAAGCACTTTGCACTCCCTAAGGTGTTATATAAATGCTAGCTATTAGTGTGGATTTAAAAGCCAAGGTGATTTTTATCATCCTTTGAAGGCAAAAGAATACCTAGATACCTTCAGTAATAATTCCCATTTACTTTAAGGTTTGTAAAGCATATTCCTTAGGATGATCCTAAGAGGTAGATAGTATAAGTACTTTTATTATTTCCATTTTGCATATGAGAAAATTGATGTGAAAGGTTCAGCCCATGGTAACTTAACTAGTGGGATCTGATCCTGTGTCTTGTGAACCGAGGTCTGTGATAGTTTCTACTATTCTAAGCTGCCTCCTAGTAAATTCAAGTCAGTAACAAATCAAGTCAGATCAACTGCATCCCAAAGCATTGAAAACACTTGTAGTTATGAGTAGTAGTTATCAGTAATCTCTGAAAGATATTAGAAATTAGAAGATATGTCGCAAGGACTGAGTTTTTCCAATGTACAAAAAAGGGAGTAACAATAAGTGATATTTATAAATGCTTTAAGGTTTGCAAAGCATTTTATATCCACAATCACATTTAATTTTCACAAGAACCCTGTGAGGAAAATACTGCAGTTATTATTAACCCCATTTTACAAATAATAAAACTGAGGCTATCTCCTTAATAAAACTGTTCTGTGATGTTTGGATTCAGTCAAAGGGCCACTCTTGAAGACCTAGAGGGCCACATGTGGCCTCGAGGCCGAAGGTTCCTCAGCCCTGTCACAGATATGATGGAATTGCCTGCCTAGTGTCCTGGAATGAATATGGGCTGTGGAGAGGCTAGAATGCACCATGTCTTGGAATTGGTAGAGGCATTCCACTAATAGCACTCACCAAGTCATCTATGGCTTTGAGGTCCAGGGAGGCATCATGGAGAAAAAGAATGGTGGCCATGCCTCACTGGTGTGGAGGAGTAAAGTGGTTCCAGCCCATATCTGAACCACCACATCAGAACAGGAGCAGGGCAGAGAAGAGAGGCTTTCACCATAAAAGATTCACACTTTGGGAAAGCAGGATGCACTTAGGTCCACTCATCAAAAATCCCTGTTGATTCCATACTAACTCCTCTCTGGCTTGGCATCACTACTCATGTATCTAAATTTCCCTTTGGCTTTTGGTGCTCTGGAGATACCCAAGCTTATGCTCTGGCCTGGACTTTGGTTTATGTTCACTTGGTCCCTGCTTTGGGATCTCATCCTCTTTACCCCGGGTGGTTATTGATTATCCTCCCTTCTACATATGACAGGTGATTACCCTAATCCCAGGCATGTGTCAGCCCCTCGCTGAAGATACAAAAGGGAATATTAAATCATCCAGTTACATAATAGAAATGACAAAAGTCATTCTGGATCATAATTCAGAATCTTTTACTCTAATTTCATAGTATATGAATGAGGATATCTATACTGGCTCCTAATTAAACACCACAAAAATACCACAGTGACATTAGACCACCCATTATAATCTTAGGATATACACTTCAATAATGTGTCATGCACAAACATGCATACACACGTTCATTGAAATCTCATGTTTCAGAATCTACCTTAACTATGTCAGGATATTCATGCCTAAATTTTCTCCTCTGCTGTATTTCTCTGGTGCTATCTAAAAAAAAAGATCTGGGGACTTTGGTGGCCCACGAGCTCAATAGGCATCAGCAGTATAATGTAGCTGCTAAAAAAAGTTAACATGATCTTGGACTGTGTGCTTCCAGGAAAATGGAAGTGATAGTCTCATTGTAGTTTGCCCTCATCAGACCTCAAGAGGAACACTGAATTTAAAATTCAAAATTTTAAATTGAAAAAATTCAATTTAAAAAAGGACATTGATAAGCTGGAAAGTGTCCAGAGGAGGGCAACCAGGGTGGTGAAGGGCTTTCAATCCATGACGTATGAGGAACTGTTGAAGTAACTGGGCATGCTTAGCCTAGAGAAGATAAAATTGCAGACAGGGCAGTGATGGCAGGAACAATGTAGCTGTCTTCAAGAATCTCAAGGGCTAGTCTGTAGAGAAGGGGTCAGCCTTGTTTTGCTTGGCCCTAGAGGGCAGAATAAGGAGTAGTGAAAGGAAGCTGAAATGATGCTAATGTAGGGTTGATGTCAAGAAAAATTTCCTACCACTTGGAGCTGTCCCAAAGCATAATGTCCAGTGGTGGTGGTTTTCCCCTCCTTGGAAGTCTTCAAGAAGAGTCTGGATGACCACTTGCTGGGAATTTTAGACCAGAGATTCTTTTTGTGGATGAGTTGGCCTAGATGGCCAATGAGGTCCTTTCCAACTGTCAACTTCTGTGGTTTTATGATTCTATGATTCTCTCTGGTCCTGAGACCAACTCTACAACCAAGATAGCCTACATTTCAGGATACAGCCTGCTGGATTTTCTTTATCACAAACCTTCCTGCCTCTCTCTTAGTTACTATGAACTTAAAATTTTTGGTTTGTTGATCTATACCTGCTTGAGCCAGGGGATAACCACTAGCAATTTCCAAAGATTATCTATTAAGATTTTAAGCTTACCTTGGAAAGATAACTCTCTTTGATTCCAAATAAGCCTCAAGACACTTCTGAATTTGGTCAAGCAGTGCATTATTATTTTGAAAAGTTTCCAGAAGTCCTATGCATTGAAAAAAGTATTTATAAAATTATAGTAAGACTTGAAAATGCAAATAATACAGAGATTGAGATTTTACGAAACGGAAACAATATTATTAATGTTATAAAGATTTGATGTATTTAATAAGATATAACCCAGTGAATTACAAATTGCCATTTTATGGTTGTCAAAGAACTAATGATTCTGGATTTTAATACTTATCATACATATTCAATATAATTCATTTTCCAATATACCCAGATGGATCTTTAAGCTTGCTGATTTGGAGTTCCCTCCAATGATGCAGATCACAGCCCCTCCATGCCTGTTTATGTTATGGATACTTGTCCATGACCTTCCCTAAATTGACCACAACCTGCTGGAGGTTTTTCTCCCTTTTCTCTTGACATCATGATAAACATAATTACCCAACATAGTTAGTCTTCAGAAGATATTCCCTCCCTCCCTTTTTGGCCAGATTAATTTTCCCAAAGATTAATAACATTACTAACCAAAAACTGAGAAAGAGAAGTAGAGTTAAAGATGTCAATGAAGATATATAGGAAAGGAAGAGATGGCATCATCATGTGGAAGGAGTGGGAATAATCATTGGACAGCCTGCATATGTCACTAATACCCTCCCAATGTCAAGAGAACTACAGGAAGGTGCCCAACACATTGAGTGTACGCTCCTTGAAGGATTTATGGAGAAACTTGGAGAGAATGAATGTCCATGGGGTGCTTACAATCTGGGAAGCTGGAGGGATTTCCCACATCAGTTAGACTGCCAATGTATCAAAGAATAATAGTCCTAAAAACAACACTTTTGTTGGTTATAAGTTTACATGTGTATGCATGTGTATACACATACATACATACATATACGTATGTGTGTGTATATATCTACAGGTTAAGTCAATCAAATTGCTCCACCCTACTTAGAGTAAGTGATAAAATACCAAGTAGCTAGATGGCAGTGTATAGAGCTATGGGCCTGGAATCTAGAAGACCTGAGTTCAAATCCTGCATCAGATACTTATTAGTAGTAAGATCCTGGGCATGTCACTTAACTTCTGTCTGCCTCAATTTTGTCAACTGTAAAATGGGAATAATAATAATAATAGCACTTACCTCTCAGAGTTGTGGTGAGGATCAATTGAGATACAATTTATAAAGCACTTGGCACAGTGCCTGACACACAGTAGGCACTAAATAAACATTTGTTCCCTCCCCCCTTTAACTAGGTTAGGACCCACATTGATCAATCAATCAATCATGGGCTTTAGACTGCATGTGGAGAAAGTTCTTTGATCATTTGGAGTGATATTATTTCAGATTGGCTGAGGAAACTTGGTTAAACCAATGTGGGTCTCTTAGAAAAACAGATTCAAATTTAAGGGAGATTCAAAGATGTGAAGAAGAGAGAGTGTCTCAACTAAAACTGTGAGCAGGCATTGCTTGGGGGAATGTGATTAGGAGATGGGGAGAGGAGCAAGGGCCTGGGCCCTGACCTAGGAGCCAGAGGAGGACCTGGTGAACATTGGAGGACCAGAGGTCCTTACCATCTTTGCAGCAGTATCCCTGGATCAGCTGATGGATGGGTCTACATTGGGAGCCAAAGACAAATTGGATACAGAATCTGAGTTCTAAAAAGAGTCAGCAGAAAAGCAACACCATGCCTAGGGGGACCTTCCTCAATACACTACGAAGGAGAGAAAAGATCTTCTGGCAGGCAGGGGCTGTGAATTATCCATGGATATGTGTGTTTTATAATCTAGAACCCACTCTCCCCTGTACTCTTTATGGACTTTTGGGGGAGTGTGTCTTAGTCTTTTGGGGGATATTTTTACCAACTGTCTTACCATTCTACTTCTGGAAATATCTCCTTCTAAAAGCTATTTACGTGCAACTAATTGGTATCACCTGGCAAAAATTGTGAGAAACACAGTGGAAGCTCAGGAGCTAGATAACACTGGGAAAGACCTCTCTCCCAGTCCCTCGGGATTATCCCTTGACCCCTGAGGGGACAGAGAAATTCTTTCTGGGGACTCAACCTGCCAGTGATATTACGGACTGGGTCAGTAGCTCCAGGGTATTGGCACATATAGATGCCTCAGTTTTTAGACATATCACTACTTAGATATACTTGCCAATATATCAGTTTTCAACTGCCTCCTTCTTACTTTCCAATTATTTGGAATTGGAGACATAAAAACTTGCTCTTTTAAAAATCACTCAGATCTAGTGAGAATAATAAGCCTCTGGAAAATGAGCATATTATTTTATCAGTCAATGACCATTCCAGACATTGGATAGAGATACCCCCCAAAAATGGTCCTGACCTTCAAGAATATGATAATCCATTGGGAGAAATAATATGCACACAAATGGTATAAGTGTATACAGAAAAACACAAAGTTATTTGGTGGGGGAGGCACTAGCAGGTGGAGAAGTCGGGAAAGGCTTTCCATAGGAGGTGAAACAAGTAGAACTATGAAGGAGACCAGGGATTCTAATGGGCAGAAAGGAGGAGGGAGTGCCTTCCAGAAGTGGGGGCCAATTAGCACAAAGGCATGGAAATTGGAGATGGAAATCTGGTGTGATTAAATTACAGAGTGTGTAAAGGGGAGTAATGTATAATGGGTATGATGGAATCAGGTTGTGAAGAACATTAAGTGCCCAACAAGGAGTCTGTATCTGGACCTTGAGATAACAAAGAGCCACTGGAGTTTACTGAGCAATAGAAAGAAACGATCAGACCTGTGCTTTAGGAAAATCATTTTGGCAGCTGGGTGGAGGATGGATTGGAATGGGAAGATGCTTGAGGCAGGGCGAACAATCGGGAAACTATTGGAATCCTCCAGGAAAGAGGTCTGAACTAGAGCCTTGCCCAAGTGAGAAGGGATGGGAAAGTTTTGTATACTTGAGATGCCATGTGGTAGAATAGATACAACCCGATGACTTCCCTGATATATGAGGTGAGGGGGGAGTGAGGAGTTGAGGATGATGCTGAGACTGGGACCCTGGGTCACTGGAAGGATAATTGAGATCTTGACAGAAAAGAGGACATTCTGAAGGAGGGAGGGTTTGGGGGGGAAAGATGAGATCTGTTTGAGATGTGTTGAGGTTTAGATGCTGATGGAATATTCAGTTGGAAATGCTGATACTCAATAAAACAATTGGATGAGAGCTCCGTGAGTTGGAGGAATTTAAAAATATGGAAAACTGATTAGTTTCTTCTACTCATTTTAATTCCTTCCAAAGTCACTGCTCATATGATTCTCTTTTCAGATGCCTTCCTCCCCTCTTTTCTCTCCACCCTCCTCCTTCCCTTAGAGGTTTTACTCACTTGTGAAGACCCAACTTGGATTCTGCCTCCTCCACTAATCTCCTTCTCTGAATATCTTTCCAAATATGAGCATTTCTTCAGTGTATAGTATGAGCACTCACATTTTAGTTATTTACTATTTATCAGGAGAGATTCTCTTAACATTTTTCTTTGTCATGGACCCTTTTGGCCACAATCTTGTGGAGCCCTTGGACCCTTTCTCAGAATCATGTTTCTATGCATAACATAAAATACAGGGAAATACAGCTATCAAATATTTTTAAAATGTATGGATCCCAGGTTAAGAACTCCTAAAATAAAGGGTGAAGTTAACAAAACATTTATTAAGCACTTGCTGTGTGCCAAGCTTTGTTCTAAGCACTGGCTAGAGGGTTTCTTTAAAGATTTGTACCTGTGTCTGTTTTAACAAAAAGTCGTATTTTTGAAAAGTAATGTGTCAAATTGATAGTGGCAGACCTATGAGAGTTTGAGCAGAGAACGTAATTTCATTTCAAGCAAAAGATATGTTTTGTGGGTTGGAATAGGAAATTAAAGTGTCCCTGCCTTTTGAGGACCAAGACTGCAAGAATACAGAGGGCAGGAGGGAGAGGAATCTTTAATTATGGAAGCTGCAAACTAAGGTGAGAAGAGAGAACAAATCACAGTATCTGTTCTCATCAAGTTTATGAAAATGTTGCCTCCTATCTTTCTGATTTTTAATACTGGATCCTCAGGATCAATGATTAATTAATTCTAAGGCTCTAATGATCAGTACAGACAGTGATTATTATAGATGGATAGTGATGCTTCTTTGCAAATCATTGTGTTGATATACCTGGTTGAGTAGCTGCACGGAGAGCATTGGGCAAACGATTAACTTTTCTCATGATTTCTTTCCATGATTTATCCACCTGTAAAAACATTTTGGCCTCTGCCGGCAGCTGTCTCTGAATGTCAGGAGCGCTGAAAATGCTCTCTAAGTAAAGCCAATTTCTCTGACAGTTCATCCACTCCTCCTAGGGAAATCAATAAAATTAAGATGTTAGCAACCCGGGAGCCATTGGCGCCAGTAACAGAAGCGGCCTGAACCACTGGAGCCCAGCCTCAGTCCCACTTCAGGACCATGGATAGCAGCACTGAGATCAACTGCAAGATCCAGAATGCCATTAAAGGAGAATTGCCGAAATTGGGAGTTTATGTTGATGAAGAACTTCCTGATTACATCATGGTAATGGTGGCTAGGGAAGCTAGGTGGTGCAGTGAAAATAGAGCACCACATCTGGTGTCGGGAAGACCCGAGTTCAAATCCAGCCTCAGACACTTACTAGCTGGGTGACCCTGGGCAAGTCATTTAAGCCTGTTTGCCTCTGGTTCCTCACCTGTAAAATGATCTGGAGAAGGAAATGGCAAACCACTCCAGCATTTTTGCTAAGAAAATCCCAAATAGGGTCACAAAGAGTTGAGTGTGACTGAACAAGTTGAGTGAAAACAGTGACAAGAGTGACTAGTCCTAGCTGGGGGGCCACCCTAAGGATGACAACAGTCTTCATGTTTTCTAGTTCATATTGTATGATTAGACGATAGAGGAATCTTTCGGCCTCAGTTATCAATGACTATATTTCATTTTGTCTTCCACTCCTTGAATAGTGTGATATGTCAGACTATTCTACCACTGCCTTAATAGCTAGCACATACAACCCTTTAATGTTTGCAAGGCCCTTCATACAGGATCCACACTAGGACTTTTGGGACACTCTGGATCTATTACCTCATTTCCCACCCAGCAGCACTCCTCTTATCTGTTATGCCCCAGGGGTGGAACACTTCCTTAACCTCCTTTATGGTGCTGTCTTCCCCTGACAGATTGTAAACTCCTTGACATCAGGGACTGTCTTTTATCTTTCTTCATATCCCTAGAGTTTAGCACAGTGCCTGGCACATAGTAGGTGCTTAATACATGTTTGGTGACCGATGAACTGATCTGTTCCTCACAGCAACCCCGTGAAATAGATGATCATAATCCCCATTTTACAGAAGAGAAAACTAAAGTTCATAGACATTAAATGATTTGTTCAAGGTCATACAGCTAAGTATGGGAGGCAGGATTCAAATTCAGATCTTTCTGACTCCAAGGCCACTTTTCCTTTCACTACAATACCTAGTTGCTTTTAAGTTACAACAACAACCCATGAATATTCCTAGGTAATGACACACTCCTTTTACTGTTGACATACTATTTCCCTGATCTTCCCTTTCATCTTTTTCCTTAACTGTAATTAGATCATGCCTTTCTTCACTACCTCATTCTTGCCACGGTGTTATTTTCAGCTTCTCTCCCAGAATCCCTTGGATCTCTCCAAGCCCCTATTCAGAAGCCTCCAGGAGTAACACCCTAATATAGTAGCCTCTAATATAAAATAAAAACTGATTGTGGGTTTTAAAGCATCCTGTCCTATGTATCCTTATCATTGGCTCATACTCTTTATTGTAACCAAGAAGTCTATCTTCTTTGCTCAGATCACCACTACTTAGTCAGTTAACAAGCACTTATAAAGCACTTACTATGTACCAGACATTGAGCTAAGAGCTGAGGCTATACAAAGAACCAAAAACTAGTCTCTATCTTGGTTAGGATTTTTGGTTAGTGGTGCATTTCACTCTGATTTCATTCTAACTTTTTTTTTCCTGTATGAAGATATTTCTGAAAAGATAAGGGAAGTGTGATAATATAATTTAACACACATATTTTTGTTTTACACATACAAATTTTCCAGGCATCTGTTTCTGTAAAATGAAGTCAAGTTGTAAGATAAATTGTTTTAAGTTATAATTTTCTATCTAAGTGGAAGGTGGTAGTATTGGCATTAAATTGCAAAGCTCAAAACATTTCATTTTTTTCCTCATATTTTTAACCATATTCATTCAATAAACATTAATTTTTAAATGCCTACTATGTGCCAGGCACTGTGCTAAGCACGGGGAAAACATAAAGAGGCAAAAGACAGTTCTTGCCTTCGATGAACCTACAATGTAATTGTAATAAATTCTAACATATTGAAATCATAGGCTTATAAATATGGAGCTGGAAAATCAGAGGTTACCCAGTCTGCTTCATTTTACAGATGAGGAAACTAAGGCCCTTAGAAGTTAAATGACTTGCCCAAGGTAAGTAAGTACTTGCCCAAGTCTTAAGACACAGAGGGCAGATTTGCACTCAGGTCCTATGACTCAGGTTCAGTACCTATTCACTAAACCATGATTCCTCTCAGCCTAAAGGCATAAAATTTACAGCAAAATAGCTTTAGAGCTAAAGGGAATCTCAAAGATCATCTTGTTCAACCTCATCATTTTACCAAAGAGGAAACTGCGGCTCAGAGAAATTAAATGATTTGCTCAAGGTCTCCCAGGTATTAGGTATAAGAGGTGGGATCGAACCTATATCTTTCTGACCCTAGAGGCAAGTGTTCTTTTCACTTGCTGTACTCCATTGCCTCTCAGCCCAAACTAAAGGCATAAAGATAGTAGATTATACCATTTTTCAGGTTCCTTCCTATTCTAAAATTCTTTGAGTTATTTGTTTTGAAATTTATTGCTCACCAGTGTTTGATTAAATAATGCAAGTTGCTTTTGCCATTCATCAACTCGAGATTTGAGTGGACCCACGTATCGAGAAGAGGCAATTGTGGACACATTAATGATACTGTCATCTAGAAGGACCTTGAAGAAAAAAAGGGAAGAGAATACAGTAAGAGTACTCCATTTTTGTCTTTCCCATTCTATTGTTTTCTTCTATTTCTTTGTATTGCTCATTTAAGAAAACTTTCTTATCTTTCCTTACTATTCTCTGGAAGTCTGCATTCAGTTCAGTCAGATCTCTGCAAGAAAATTAGAGATAGCAAGGGAATGTTTTATGCAAAAAAAATCAGCATGATAAAAGACAAACATGTTAGGGACTTAACAAAAGCAGAAGAGATTAAGAAGAGGCTGCAAGAATACACAGAAGAATATAAAAGAAAGATCTTAGCATCACCGGTAACCACAATGGTATGGTCACTGTTCTAGAGCCAGACATCCTGGAGAATGAAGTCAAGTGGGCTTTTAGAAGCCTTGCTAACCATAAGGCTAGTAGAGGTGACAGAATTCCAGCTCAGCTATTTAAAATCCTAAAAGATGATGATGTTAAAGTGCCGCACTCAATATGCCAGAAAAAAATGGGAAAACTCCACATTGGCCACTGGATTGGACATAATCAGTTTATGTCCCAATTCTAAAGAAGGGCAGTGCCAAAGATTGCTCCAGTTACTGACAATTGTGCTCATTTCACACCTCAGTAAGGTTATGCTTAAGATTCTGCAAGGTAGGCTTCATTAATACGTGAACTGAGAATTACCAGAAGAGTGGGCTGATTTTTGAAGAGGCAGAGGAGGCCAAATTGCCAATATTTGCTGGATTAAGGAGAAAGCAAGGGAGTTCAAGAAAAAAATCTACTTCTGCTTAATTGAGTACACTTAAGCCTTTGACTGTGTGGATCACAACTAAATGTGGGAAATCCTCAAAAAGATGGGAGGACCAGATCATCTTACTTGTCTCCTGAGGAATCTGCAAGCAGGTCAAGAAGCAACAGTTAGAACTGAACACAGAACAACTGATTGGTTTAAGATTGGAAAAGGAGTATGACAAGGCTATATATTGGCACCTTATTTATTTAACTTATATGCAGACTACACCATGAGGAATGCCAGGCTGAATGAATCGAAAGCTGGAATTCAGGTTGCCAGGAGAAACATTAACAATCTCAGATATGCAGACAATACCATTCTGATTGCAGAAAGTGAAGAAGAATCAAGAGGCCTCTTGATGAGAGTGAAAGAGGAGAGCATAAAAGCTGGCTTGAAGCTTAACAGAAAAAAAAATTTAAGATCATGGCAACTGGTCCTATCATTTCCTGGCAAAAAGAAGAATAAGAAATGAAAGCAGTATCCAATTTTATATTCAATGACCACTGCAGAGACAGCTAGGTAGCACAGGGGATAGAGCACTAGCCCTGAAGTCAGGAGGACCTGAGTTTAAATCCGGCCCCAGACCAAACACTTGACACTTACTAGCTGAGTAAGTCACTTAACCCCAATTGCCTTAAAAAAAAGAAAGAAAGAAAGAAAAAAGAAAAAAAAAACAAAGACCATTGCAGATAGTGACTGCTGCTATGAAATTAAAAGGTGCTGGCTCCTTGGAAGGAAAGCTATGACAAATCTGGACAGCATACTAAAAAGCAGAGACATCACCTTGCCAACAAAGGTCCATATAGTCAAAGCTATGCTTTTTCCAGTAGCAACGTATGGCTGTAGAGTTGGACTACAAGGAAAACTGAGTGCTGCAGAATTGCCATTTTCTATTTGTGGTGCTGGAGAAGACTTTTAAGAGTCCTTTGGACAGCAAGGAGATCAAATCAGTCAACACTTAAAGAAATTAATTCAGACTATTTGTTTGAAGGTCAAATACTGAAGCAGAAGCTTAAATACTTTGGCCATGTGATAAGAAGACAGGACTCATTGGAAAAGACCCTGATGTTGATTGATTGGAAGATTGAAGGCAAAAGGAGAAGGCAAAAGGATGGCAGAGGAAGAGATGGGTAGATAGTGTCATGGAAAGAACAAACGTGAGCTTGGACAGACTTTGGGAGAGAGTGGAGGATAGAAGGACCTGGTGTGCAGTGGTCCATGGTTCAGACTGAATGACTGAACGACTACAAGAAGTCCATTTCTGTGCTAAACATTTACAAGGACTTGTACCCCAGCTTCTTTGTCTTGGTAAACTTCCCCAGAATTGTCTACACTTGAGCATCTATTTTCTGACCCATTTCCCTTTGTTAACTCTTCCAGTCTGGCTTTTGCCTCTACTATTCTTTCCTCTCAAATACACATGCTGATGACCCTTAGAATGCCCTGATCTCCAGGTCTATAACCTCTTTCACACTCACTGTACCTCAGACAT